AGCTTATTGTGCACCAGGTACCATTCTAAGAGCTTTCTACAAATGATCTTATTACAGTTTTGGAACAGCCCTGTAGTAGACACTCCTGCTGCATACCAAACAATCAGTTCCCTTCTTTATGGCTGACAGAGCTCTAATTTTGTTCGGATGTCTACAATTCAAAGAAAGCTATAACCCACTACTGTGGGTTGAAACCAACTACTGTGATCCTATTTCTCTTAGAGTGATTGGTTTCAGTATGGACATGTGAAAAAAATTCTAGTCAGTGAGATATGAAAAGAAGTCTAATGAGTGGGGAGGTGCTTCTCAACAGTTTCTAGATGCCAGAAACTTTAGCAATCATTTTACAATTAGCAGGGGAATTAGCCTGGGAATAAGGAGACAGAGAACGTCAGAACCAAGAAATGGAAAATAATTATGTCTTTGATAGTGTCACTGATTACTGAGGTAACCACTCCAGAAGTATCAGGACTTCTTTTTATGTGAGGAAATATAGTTTATTTATTGTTTAAATTGAATTACTTGTAGTCAAAAGCATCTTAATCATTGTGAAATCCTTTAGAATGTCCTGTTATTATTTCCATTTTACAAATGAGATAATTGCAGCTCAAAGATGTTAAGATTAACTGCTTATAAAAAGTTAACCTGCCCCTAGGACTTTCTTCTCTGCTACATGTATTTTATTTTGCCCATAATGAAAACAACTGATTGACTAAACTGTTCCAGAGATGTTAGTATTCATTAATCAAGAAGTAAATGGTCAGACTCACAATCTTACTTGCTTACACCAAGTTCCATCTCCATCCCATGCCCAGTGTAACTGTCCCTCCCAGTCACCCTTGCCTCAGTCCCAGTCCAGTGGACTCCCTCCCCCAGAAGACTGGCCCACCACTCTGCCAACCCTACATTTCCTGACTTGGGAGTTCTGCAGAACTTTGGTTCTGGTGGTGGTGGTGACAGGTCTCATTTCACAAACAAACTAAAGCACACCCAGTTAAAATGCATCATATTCAGCCCAGGGACTGAACACTTCCCTCAATAGGCAAAGAGAGCTTCCACAGATGACTGGCCTGGAGGATAAAGTGGCCAGGACATAATAGTAGAACATAAGCAGCACACATTGCAGCACTCCCTGAAGTGCCAAGCCTGGGGAACAGGGGACACTACATGGCATGGCACTAAAGGACCTCTTCTTTGCAAGGCCATTACCCTCAAGAACAAGAGACATAGCCGACTTTCCTAACAGAGAGAAACAGGCACAGAGACTTAGGCAAAATGCAAAGACAGAGAAATGTATCCCAAATGAAAGAACAAGACAAGACCATGGCCAGAGATCTCAGTGAAACCGTTGCAAGTAACATGCCTGACTGAGAATTTAAAATAATAATTATAAGGATACTCACTGGATTTGAGAAAAAGGTGGAAGACATGAATGAGACTCTTACCACAGAAATAAGGAATAACACAGCAGAGATAAAGAGCTCAATGAATGAAATAAGAAACACACTCGATAAAATGAACAGCAGGCTACAAGAAGCAGAGAAACAAATTAATGACCTAGAAGACAGAGTAATGGAAAGTAATCATGCTGAACAAAAGAGAGAACAAAAGAATTACACCAAATGAGCCTAGACTAAGGAAATCACTGACTCCATCAAATGTAATAATGTTCGACATTATAGGAGTCCCAGAAGGAGAAGAGAGAAAAAGGGGCAGAAAATTTATTTGAAGAAATAACAGTGGAAAACTTCCCCAATCTAGGGAAGGAAACAGATATCCAGATCCAGGAGGCACTGAGAACTCCCATCAAAACCAACAAAAGCAGATCCACACCAAAACATACTGTAATTAAATTGGCAAAATATAATGATAAAGAAAAATACAATTTTAAAAGCAGCAAGACAAAAGATGACAGTAACTTATAAGAAAAACCCATAAGACTAGCAGGGGGGTTCTCAGCAGAAACCTTTCAAGCTAGAAGGGAGTGTGGTATGTTCAAAGTGCTGAATGGGAAAAATCTGCAGCCAAAAAACCCTATCCAACAAGGCTATCATTCAGAATAGAAAGAGAGATAAAGAGTTTCTTAGGCAATCAAAAACTAAAAGAGTGCATGATCATGAAACCAGCCCTGCAAGAAATATTAAAGGGGAGTCTTGAGTAAAAAAGAGATCAAAAGTGACAGTATAAAGGTAGGAAACACAAAACCAGTAAAAATGAATATTTCTGTAAAAATCAGTCAAGGAACTCACAAAATAAAAGGATATAAAATATAACAACATATACCTAACACATGGGGAAGAGACAAGTAAAGAATAGGTTCAAACTACAAACCTAATGGTAACTACAAATCAAAACCCACTAATAAACATATAAAGAATAAAGAGAAACAAATCTAAATATATGACTAAAGAAAATCAGCAAACCATGAAAGAGACAAAAACAAGAGTCAGAGAAAATCTTCAGAAACAACCACAAAACAAATAATAAAAGGACAGTAAGTACATATCTATCAATAATTACTTTGAATATAAATGGACTAAACATTCCAATCAAAAGACATAGGGTGACAGGATATACCAAAAACAAAAAACAAACAAACAAAACAAACAAACAAACAAAAAACAAAACAGACAAACAAAAAAACCAAGACCCATTCACATGCTGCCTACAAGAGACTCATTTTGGACCTAAAGACATCTGCAGATTGAAAGTGAAGGGATGGAGAAACATCTATCACACAAATAGATGTCAAAAGAAAGCTTGAGCAGCAATACTTATACTGAACAAAGTAGATTTGTTTTGTGTGTGGGGTGGAACATGAGTCAGGGGTGGAGGGGCAGAGGAAAAGGGAGAGAGAGAATTTTAAGCAGGTTTCACATCCAGCACAGAACCCAACATGAGGCTCAATCTGATGACCCTGAGATCATGACTTCAGAGCCAAAATCAAGAGTTAGATGCTCAACTGACTGAGCCCCAAACACAGTAGATTTTAAAACAAAGACTGTAAAAGAGAAAAAAGAATGCCACTACATAATAATAAGGGGGACAATCCAACAAAAAGATACAATAATTGTAAATGATTATGCATCCAAGTACATAAAACAGTTAATAACAAACAAAGAAACTAATCAATAATAATACAATAATAGTAGGGGACTTTCACACCCACTTACATCGATGGGTAGATCATCTAAACGGAAAATCAACATGGGAACAGTGGCTTTGAATGACACACTGGAAGAGACGGATTTAACAGATATATTCAGAACATTCCATCCTAAAACAAGAGAATACCCATTCTTTTCAAGTGCACATGGAACTGTCTCCAGAATGGATAACATGTAAGACCACAAAACAAGCCTCAAAAATTCAAAAAGATCAAAGTCACACCATGCATCTTTTCTGAACTCAATGCTATGAAACTAGAAATCAACCACAAGAAAAAATCTGGGAAGACCACAAACACATGGAAATTAAATAACATGCTACTAAACAATGAATGGGTCAACCAGGAAATCAAAGAAGAAATTTAAAAAGTACATGGAAATGACTGAAAATTAAAACACACGAGTCCAAAAGTTTGGGATGCAGCAAAAGTGGTACAAAGAGGGAAGTTTACAGCAATACAGGCCTACCTCAAGAAGCAAGAAAAACCTCAAATAAGCAACCTAACCTTATACCTAAAGGAACTGGAAAAAAATAAACTAAAACCACCAGAAGGAAGGAAAGAATAAAGATTAGAGCAGAAACAAATGATATAGAAACTGAAAAAACAATAGAACAGATCAATGAAACCAGGAGCTGGTTCTTTGAAAAAAATCAATTAAACTGATAAACCTCTATCCAGATTTATCCAAAAGAAAGGAGAAAGGACCCAAATAAATAAAATCCAAATGACAGAGGAGAAATAACAACTAACACCACAAAAATACACACAATTGTAAGAGAATATTATGAAAAAACAAATGCAAACAACTTCGACAGCCTGAAAGAAATGGAAAATTTTCTATAAACATATAAACTACTAAAACCGAGGCAGGAAGAAACAGAAAACTTGAACAGACTGATAACCACCAAGAAATTGAATCAATAATTTTAAAAAAACTCCCAACAAACAAGTCCAGGACCAGATGGCTTCACAGGCAAATTCTACCAAATATTTAAAGAAGGTTAATACCTATTCTTCTCCAACTATTCCAAAAAATAGAAGAGGAAGGAAAAGTTACCATTCATTCTACTAGGCCAGCTCTCCTTGGTACCAAAAGCAGTTAAAGACACCACAAAAAGAGAACTACAGGCCAATATCCCTGATGAACATGGATGCAAAAATTCTCAACAAAATACTAACAAACTGAATCTAACAATACATTAAAAAAAAATCATTCACCATGAGCAAGTGGGATTTATTCCTGGGTATCAAGGGTGGTTCAATATTCACAAATCAATCAACATGATACATCACATCAATAAGAGAAAGGATAAGAACCATATGATCATTTCAGTAGACACGGAAAAAGCATTTGACAAAGTATAATGTCCGTTCGTGATAAAAAAAAAAAAACCTCAACAAAGTAAGGATATAGCAAACATACCTCAACATCAGAGGACATATACAAAAGACCCATAGTTAATATCATCCTCAATAGGGAAAAACTGAGAGCTTTTCCTCTCTGGTCAGGAACAAGACAGGGATGTTCACTCTCACCACTGTTATGCAACCCAGTACTGGAAGTTCTAGTCTCAGCAATCAGACAATAAAAAGAAATAAAGGGCATCCAAATCAGCAAGGAAGATGTCAATCTTTCACTGTTTGCATGTCATTTGCAGATGACATGATACTACATAAACCCTAAAGACTCCACCCAAAACCTGCTAGAACTGAGAAACCAAATCAGTAAAGTTGCAGGATACAAGATCAATGCGTAGAAACCTGTTGCAGGAGGAGCGCGGGGCCGGGGTAGTGCGGCCTGGCGGTCTGGGCGGCGAGTGGGCAGCGGAGCCTCGGCCTATGTGACTGGGCGGCGCCCGCGCGGCCTCCGTCTGGAGAGGATTCAAGATGACCAAAGAGGAACCTCTTCCCAAAAAGGTTCGACTGAGTGAAACAAACTTCAAAGTTATGGCACGAGATGAGTTCATTCTAAGGTGGAAACAATATGAAGCATATGTCCAAGCTTTGGAGGGCAAGTACACAGATCTTAATTCTAATGATGTAACTGGGTTAAGGGAGTCTGAAGAAAAACTAAAGCAACAAGAGTCTGCTCGCAGGGAAAACATCCTTGTAGTGCAACCAGCAACCAAGGAGCAAGAGATGCAAGAGTGTACTACTCAAATCCAGTACCTCAAGCAAGTCCAGCAGCCTAGCGTTGCCCAACTGAGATCAACAATAGTAGACCCAGCGATCAACTTGTTTTTCCTAAAAATGAAAGGTGAACTGGAACAGACTAAAGACAAACTGGAACAAGCCCAAAATGAACTGAGTGCCTGGAAGTTTACGCCTGATAGGTAAACAGATCATACTCCCCAGTCAAGACTTCCCTGACAGTCCCACTATGAGAAAGCTGTGGTGGGACAGCCAAGTACTTGTTTCCACACCAAGACTCAGACTTTCTGAGCAAAAAAAAAAAAAAAAAAAAAAAGCCACATTCTTACACTATCCAGCTGGTAATGGTTAATGTAAACCTTACCAGATGAACCTTGTGTTTCAGCTTTTTTTTCTTCCCCCTTCCCTTGCTTCAGAGGCCTGATGGCGTTGGACTATTCCGCAGAAGTGGCCACCTTCGAAAAATTCCCCTTCTAGAACATGTAGACACTTGAGAAATGTTTCTGTTTGGAGAAAATAGAGGGAGAAACAGAAGTCTTAAGTCTGTGGCGCACTGTGTCTTCAGACAGTTTGGAGGAATGAAAACCTAGAGATTTAAAATCATGAATTGAACATGTAAAATTCCAGTAAAATGTAAAAATGGAATATGCATCACTCTTAACCTTGAGCATAGTGACTTAGAGACACTGTATCTCAGGTTTGCCAATAAGACTGTGGACTTCGTGATTGTTGTTGAACTTCTGGGTCAAAACTCAAATGAGGTAAATTTTGCCTTTAAAGGGTTTATTTGCTAAGAACCAATTTAATAGTCACGAGAGAATCAAATAATAGATGTCAGTACAAGTAGTTCATATATTTAGTTGGGGCTCTATATTACTTGATTGAGCCTTAAATCAATGTGGTTTTAATCAATGGTTTGTTCTTTGAATGGTTGCTAATGCTGTAGATAATCTTACTGAGGACTGTACAAACAAACATAAAGGTGTGGTATCAAACTTCAGGTTAAAACTGTTTGAAGCATTATAAACATTCATCTCACTACTAGATTGTATAAGGATATTGGCTGTGATGAGACTCACTGTGTTATATTTTTCAGTAGTGAAATTAAATCCCCATTCCATTCAACAGGCACAAGTTGAAAGCGCATTGTCGTTGGTGTTAATGGGGGAATGTGTTTCCTTCATTGTATTTGGGCCTTTTGTATTGCACTCTCGATGTTAAATTAAATGTGCCTTGAAGTAAAAAAAAAAAAAGAAAAAGAAACCTGTTGCATTTCTGTATACCAATAATGAAGCAATAGAAAGAGAAATTAAGACCATAACCCCATTTATAACTGCACCAAAAATAAGATACCAAGGAATAAGCCTAACCAAAAAAGTGAGAGACGTGTACTCTGAAAACTATAAAATGCTGATGTAAGAAACTGAAGATAACACAAAGAAATGGAAAGACACCCCATGCTCATGGCTTAGAAGAACAGATATTGTTAAAATGTCTATACTACCTAAATTAATCTACAGATTTAATGCTATCCCTATCAAAATACCAACAGCATTTTTCACAGAATTTACAAGCAATCCTAAAATTTGTATGAAACTACAAAAGATCCCAAATAGCCAAAGCAATCTTGAAAAGAAGAGCAAAACTGGAGGCATCATAATTCTGGACTTCAAGCTATATTACAAAGCTGTAGTAATCAAAACAGTATGGTGATGGAACAAAAATAGACACACAGATACACAGAATAGAATATAAAGCCCAGAAATAAATCCACAACTATATGGTCAATTAACCTTTGACAAAGCAGCAGAGAATATTCGATGGGAAAAAGACAGTGTCTTCAACAAACGGTGTTGGGAAAACTGGACGGCAACGTGCAAAGGAAAGAAACTGGACCACTTTGTTACACCATACACAAAAATAAATTCAAAATGGATTAAAGACCTAAATGTGAGCCATGAAACCATAAAAATCCTAGATAAGAACACAGGCAGTAACCTCTTTGACATGGGCCATAGCAACTTTTTCTAGCTATGTCTCCTGAGGCAAGGGAAATAAAAGCAAAAATAAACTATTGGGAGGGACTACATCAAAATAAAAAGCTTCTGCACAACAAAGGAAACAATCAACAAAACTAAAAGGCAGCCTATAGAATGGGAGAAGGTATCTACAAAGAACATATCCAGTAAAGGGCTAGTATCCAAAATATATAAAGAACTTATAAAACTCAACACCCAAAAAGCAAATAATCCAATTACATAACAGGCAGAAGACATGAACAGACATTTCTTCCAAGAAAAAAAAAAAACAGATATCAACAGACACATGCAAAGATGCTCATCATCACTTACCATCAGGGAAATATAAATCAAAACTACAATGACATAATACCTCACACCTGTCAGAATGGCTACGATCAAAGACAAAAAAAAAAAGGTGTTAGCGACTACGTGGAGAAAAAAGAACGCTCACGCACTCTTAGTGGGAATGCAAACTGATGCGGCCCCTGGTGAAAATGGTATGGAGGTGCCTCACAAAGTTAAGAATAGAACTGTGATCCAGCAATCACACAACTGGGTATTTACCCAAAGAATGCAAAAATACGAATTCAAAGGGATACATGAACCCCTATGTTTATAGCAGCATTATTTAGAATCACCAACATATGGAAGCAGCCCAAGTGTCTATCGATTGAAGAATGGATAAAGATGTGGTATGTGGCATGTGTGTGTGTGTGTGTGTATGCTTCTGCTGCTTTGTTTATATATATATATACATACATATACACACATATACATATATATACACACACACAAAGAAATATTATTCAGCCATGAAAATGAAATCTTGCCATTTGCAATAACAAAGATGGATCTAAAGAATATAATGTTAAGTAAAATAAGTTAGAGTGATTTCACTCATATGTGAAATTTAAGAAACAAAACAAACGAAGGGGAAAAAGAGAGAGAAACAAATCAAGGAACAGATTCTTAATGATTGAGAACTGATGGTTATCAGAGAGGAGGGGAGTACAGGGGTGCATTAAGTAGGTGCTGGGGTTTAAGGGGTGCATTTGTCATGATGAGCCCTGATGATGTATGGAATTGTTGAATCACTATATCATACACCTGACACTAACATAATACTGCATGTTAGATAACTGAAATTAAAATTACGATTTTTACTTCTTTTTTTTAATGAGGTCAGAAGGCATACTTTCCCTTTCTTCTCAAACATATATTGCAAGTATCACAGAAAGTCCTAATAACATATGCAACACCACCTGGTTTCAAAATAAAGAGAGCACACACAAGAATGGTGAGTACTAAAGATCCACATGGATCAAACCAGGAGCAATGCTTCAGGATGCCAGAACTTACCCAGTCCATTATTCGCCCTGCCCCCTGCACTTCTAAGTATTTGCCCTGTGGAGTCCACTGCTCTTTGTCAGATTGAAATCCCAGTAGCTCTCTTCCCACATTCCAGGTTAATAGTTGCCTCCTATCCCAAGGTGTATAGTCCATACATAGAAATCCAGGCACCTTCAAATAGATTTGCTAAGCTTAGCCATGTTTGAAGTGGCATCTCTACAAGCCACATTCCAGCTCAAATTCTGTACAGAAAGTTGCTAGCAAGGAACTCTCACCCCTTCTGGACTTGCTTTGCTACTGAAGCTCTGGTCACCAGGCTCCTCTGCCTTCACTCTTGGCTTCTTCCTTCTCCTCCTTCTCCTTCTCCTTCTCCTTCTCCTTCCTTCCCCCCTCCTTTCTTCTTCTCCTTCTTCTTCTTCTTCTTCTTCTTCTTCTTCTTCTTCTTCTTCTTCTTCTTCTTCTTTTCTTCTTTCTTTTTATAAACAGCAGTGCACTTTTAATCAAGGAGCTATGGCTGTGTAGAGTGCAAGCATCTCCTTCAAGCCAGCATCCATCCTCTTGCTCCCACTGGGCTCAAGCAATGGGGGCAGAGCGCTGAGTGGACCAAGGCCCCTTCTGGGTCAGGGAGAGCAGAGAGGTGGTCAATGGGGGGCAGGGATGGTGGTGGTGGCTGCAGATGGAGGGAGGGATATCTTCACACAGGGAAAAAAAAATCTCCATGACAGACACAGGGTCTCTAAAAATAGTCCTGCTGGGAGCCTAATGGCCCTTGCCATAATTGCTGAAGTCAGGAGAGGAGGTGTCTGGAGTTTGCTCAAGTGGCTGAGTGGGAAGGAGATGCCACCAACTTGGAGGAGGACCTGGAGCCAGGCCGGCTATGGAACAGGTGAGGGACCAGCACTGTGGCTGGGGGAAAGAGAGACAGGGACACAGAGAGCCCAGCAGGTGGGGGAGCTGACACATGGTTCCCTTACCAATCACATGGCAATCCACCATTGTTAGTTTCTGTGGTGCCCTCACAATCATGGGGAGAGTACTTCTGCAGCTCTGATGACTTGGAGCTGCAGCAACAGGTGCAGAACTCTCCTCCGGGACCAGATTCCTTTATCTCCTCCGTCTCCTTGATGTATCTATATTGTGAGTGCTCGATTCTATCCCTCTCACAACTGTGTTGTGACCTTGGACTTTGAATGGGGCTTCATCCCTTGGCATCAGAAAAGAGCCCGATACATAGAGTGGCCTGCAGAGAGGGTTTTCAAGGCTATCCCCAGAGCGAGGCTAGGAACTGCTAGAGCATCGGGTGAGCCCAGCTTTTTTAAGGAATTTGTATCCTGCTTGTTCCGGCCGCACATTGGGTACCACAGCAGTATGGACATCAAAAATTCAGCCAGTCTGGAAACTGACCAGGACTCTGCAAATTCCATATATAAATACTGGATCTGCTCCTATGCTTCCCACGTCAGGGTCCTGAGTAGGGTACTTGGAGCCTCCATTTGCCTCCAAATTTTCTGGAACCGAGTGGCTTTTTTTCCCTGTCGTTTCAGGGTGCTGGGGGCAGGGTGAGGAGGTGGGGAGGTGGGGGGGAGAACCAATGGCAGAAGCCACACCTGAGAAGCAAGATGCATGGTTGAAGAACCCAGCTCTCTTCTCTCTGTTGGCAAGTGCAACCAGGACATGTTTGTCTGCACAGTCTTGCTCTGCACGCTGGCCCGCAAATGTGCCTGGAACAACCGCTGAGCGTGCCAAATTTTCTAAACGGGTGTTGGGAGTACTTAACTGGTGAGGGAGCCCATGGTCCGAAGAGAGCTGAACACC